ACCATGATGAACTAGATGCCTAGGGAAAGTCCACAAACAGCACCTGAGCGTAGCATCACTCTACCCACTTGTGATTCTCAGCAACAGTGGAAGGAGAACATAGCCTTGTCCCCCCATGAATTTGCCTGGTCTCCTTTTAAAGCCATCCAGATTGGTGGCTGTCACTCCATCATGTTGGAGTTGGGTTCCATTCAGTTTAACTGTGGGCTGTGTGGTTATTCTTGTTCTTTGTTCTTCATCTTCCTTGGATGGCCTCAAGTTCTAGTTCTGTGTGTGAGAGAGAAGAATATTTCTCAGCTCACTTTATCCACACTCTTTATCATTTATCCACACGCTTACCATCTTCATACACTCTTATCGTGTCCTCTCTTACTCACCTTTTATGCAATTAAAAAGGTCCCCCAAAGCTCAGTGGTAGAGCAGATGCAGAAGATTCCAGGTTCAATCCATGGCATCCCCAGTTGAAAGAATTAAGTGGCAGGTTCTGGGAAGGAAAGACCTCTGCCTGAGACCCAGGCAGGTATAACAGAGGTGAGGAACATTATTCAACCTGGTGAAGATCTTTCCCACCCTCCACCAGCCATTTTTCTTAGGTGGGCAGGGTTGCCCACCTGACATCACCATGATATCAGGTGACAACTTCACATGGGCTCTTTTTTCAGTCTTCAAGAACTCATCCCGCTCCACCACTGACTGTTTTTGCCAAGTGTGGTATAGTAACTGGTCCAAGGTCAGCCCAAGAACTTCATGGCTGAATGGAGATTTGAACCTGCGTCTCAAATATGAGGTGTGTGTTTTTTGCTTTTGTTTCAGTTTAATCTTTTCACTTATTCTGTGTATTTGCACATGCACGAGGGTATTTGTGCCTGCACACACACACACACACACACACTCATATATCTTCTGTTCAGTCAGCAGTTCTGCATCTCTGTTCTGTTTTGGACAGGCTCCAAGGCTCCCCGGGACATCAAAACTTTCTGGCAGCAAACCCAAGCTTTGCTTCCACCTATTTTCATTGCTCTCTCCTAGAATTCCATTATCTCACAGCATGTTAAGCTAACACTTAAGAAACATTATTGCATGCCAAGGTCGTAATGGTGGAACCCTGGGGAGCGAGACCACACAATATGGTCTACAGGCACCATGATGTTTGACTTTTCTTTCTCCCTCCTTCTTAGCAGCTTAAATTCTGTGTGTGTGTGTGTGTGTGTGTGTGTGTAAATCTTCACTTTTGTTAATTGGATAGCACCCTTAATTGTAGAATAGAAGCTGTTGTGGTCTATTCTCTTAAGCTCTCTGGTCCAGGGTTTGATGCGAAGGTTATCAGTTTCTAACCGGAAATGTTACTGGAAAAACCTCTGCAACAGGTCTGGGGAACCTTTGGCCCTCCAGCTGTTGTTGAACTACAACTCCCATTATCCTTTTTTAAGGGTCCAGGGCAGGTGTCACCCATGGGCCCTTCCAAGGCATTGGGGCCCAAGCTGCTGTCCATGTATGCAGGCAGCTCTTCAGGTAACCTAGTCAAAGTCCATTTACAGGTCCACAAATAGGCCCCCAAACTGGGTAAGAAACGTAAAGCATTCAGAGGGGCCCAGAATTTTCTAACTGACAGGCTGTGTTGAGAAAGTAGCAGCAATTCTGTTTCATGAGTTGAGCTTTTGATTGCTTTTGGAAGCCATGCAGAGTTCCGTGTAGCTTATAGTGTAAGTCTTCCTTGGCTCCGAGTTCAAAATCAAATTAGCGATGAATAGTTTCTGACAACTTTATCATAATAATGTAACGGTGATACCCAGTGCAGTGAATAGTTTAATTATTCCTCCTTTTGACAGGTGAGTTTGGTGCCAGGAACCAAGTATATAATTGTTTTCTGTCTCTTTGGAATACAGTTTGGGTGCACCTGGAGCTTGCCCCCCCTCTTCCTTTCATGTTGCCTTCCTTAGCTGTTAACAGGGCCTGAACAAAGTCATTCTGGACAGCTTAACCAACCATCTGCCAGACAATGGAATGGTTGGCCAGTAGTCATAATGCCCATTGCCAGGAGCCAGGTTTTGGGGACCCTTGGGTAAGATGCCCAAACTGGAAGCCCCTACCTGAGTGGGCCCATTTCCTCCTCACTACCCATTTTATTGCCCCCCTTCCCTCTGGTCCCAGTCCATACCACCAGCCAGAGAGAGCAACATTCATATTTCAGCCAGGCAAAAACACTCAAGGAGGGTGTGAAGGAGGACTTGTGAGGGAAGAGGTTTGGGGAGAGGAGGTGTGGCCTGAGGGGAGTTTTGAGAGCCTGAGGTTCCCCACTCCTGCTCTTCACATTTATCTGGAGAGAGGAACATGCTAAGAGATGATGGAGGAGTTGAGTGGCAGGACATCCAGGGACAATAATGGGCCCTCTGCAGGTAGCCAGCAGTGCCAGCTCCGACACCAGTCCTGGTAATGGCAGTAGCCAAAATGTGAGTGATTTCTTTGAAGAAGCTTTTCTTGTAACATGTAAGGGCCAGTTCCGTATTTATGTTGGGACTTCAACTGGCGTTCAACCAGCTGTCTTGGAGATGGGGACCCTCTTGCCTTCCCAGAGCACTGCATGGAAGTGCTTGGAAGATGCTCAATGCTCTCCAGCTTATCTTGAGCACCACCCTTCTCTCTACTGATATGGCTTCTTCCTAAAACTCTTTCAATGCCCTCTTCCAGGAAAGTGACCTTAGAAGAGGGCATCAGAAGCTGCCTCAGACTGAGTCAGACCTGTTTAGCTCAGTTCCATGTAGCTTGACTGGCAAGGACTTAATAGGATTTCAGACAAGGTTGTCTTCCAGCCCTACCTGGAGATGCCAGAGACTGAACCTGGGACCTTCTACATGCAAAGCAGATATTCTGCCATTGAGCTGGTTTACCCTTCTGACTCTTACCTGGCAGTGCAGATGTCCCTGTTCAGCTTTGTCACTGGATCCCTGTAGCTTTGCTAAGCAAGATGCATCAATCAAAGAATCATAAAGAGCTGGAATGGGCTGCTGGGGGCTTGTAGTCCAACCCTTGTCATGGCAGAGCTGACAGTCAATTTAGGCAGCTCTCAGCGAGATGGCCCAGTGGTCTCACTTGGTATGATGCAACTTCCCAAGTACCGAATGCAGCCCCTGATCATTGGAGGACAGGACACAGCTCAGTGGTAGAACGCAGATTTTGTATGCAGAATGTCCCATGTTCAACCTCCAAGAAGTACAGTGGTACCTTGGGTTACATACGCTTCAGGTTACATATGCTTCAGGTTACAGACTCCGCTAACCCAGAAATAGTGCTTCAGGTTAAGAACTTTGCTTCAAGATGAGAACAGAAATCGTGCTCCGGCTGTGTGGCAGCAGCAGGAGGCCCCCATTAGCTAAAGTGGTGCTTCAGGTTAAGAACAGTTTCAGGTTAAGAACGGACCTCCAGAACAAATTAAGTACTTAACCCGAGGTACCACTGTATAACTGGGGGAGACTCCTGTCTGAAAATTGCTGCCAATAGACATAGACAATACCGAGGACCCAGATAGATCAGCTTCCTGTCCTCACTAGATGAATACAAAAGTTGCTTCCCAGAATTATTAATGTTTCTTTTAGCATGGAATCGTGCAGCTATAAAGCCATGCCTCATCAGGTTCGTAAAGAGGAAGAGGAGCATGACAGTTACCTGTTGCTATTTTGCCGGCGGCTCTTCGGGAGTAGATTTGCAGGTAGCTGCAATAACCAAGATGGTTAGAATTCTTCATCTCGGAGGGAGTGGGGGGGGTGAGCCCCCACCCCCCACGAAGTGACAAGCAGGAACCAACTGTAAACAGAAGCCTTCTAATTCCGACAGGCGTGATGGATGAAAGAGAGAGCACCATTGACCTGGTTTCACTTCGTTAAGCTTTCCAATTAAGCAGGGGTGCGACAGAAAACGAGCCTGCAGGAATATCTGCAGCCATCAAGCACAGATGTTTTGCAGAAGTGTGCATGTTTCTTTTGTACTAAACAAACAAACAAACAAACCACACAACTATTTTCCTTAAAAAAAGAAAAATCTCATTGAGTTTGGGGAGGGGGCAGGGTTCTTAAATTCCCATCTTCTTCCCAGAATTTGAGTTCTGGAGAACATGGTCATAGTGGCTAGTACACAGAGTAGTACAGTGGTACCTCGGGTTACATACGCTTCAGGTTACAGACTCCGCTAACCCGGAAATAGTACCTCGGGTTAAGAACTTTGCTTCAGGATGAAAACAGAAATCGTGCTCCGGCGGCACGGCAGCATCAGGAGGCCCCATTAGCTAAAGTGGTGCTTCAGGTTAAGAACGGACCTCCAGAACGAATTAAGTACTTAACCCGAGGTACCACTGTACTAGCATTGGATACAACCCTTTGTTCTTGGATTATTTCTGACATACATTGACTGAGATAAAAACTTGGAGCTGAACATTTCAGTCCTACTGGAAATTATGTCTGAGGACATTAAGGGGTGGGGCAGGCACTTGCTCCCCTTCCGCATCACACCATTGAATGGAAACTGACTTACGATATGCAGTGAGGAGACCACCAGAAAATTTTCAGCCTCCTCTTGAGCCAGAGGACAGGGATTTAGAGCTGCTCTTGATCCCAGTTCTGGGACTGAAGGAGCTCCAGCTTATCATCAGGAATGTAAGGAGGCAGCGATTTCCATCCTGTTCTGGGTTCATGGCAATCAGCACTGTTTCTATTCTGCTACAGTTCGGCTTCCAATGAAACCTTTTTATTTTTTGTCTTGCTATCTGCTGCAACCGAAATTTACATAGTTAATTAGATAATTAATTTTAGTGAATTTCAATGAAAGGGAAATGTCAAAAACAAAGCAGAAAAATAATGTATTGGCTTATGTAATGTTTGTGGACTAAAAAACCCCCCACAATACTATGAATATTAATAATAAATAATAATAATAATAATAATAGGTATGTCTACTTGCAATTGGCCTCTTTGAAATAATCCATTTTTTCTTCTGTGTTCTTCTTGCAGGATCAGCCTCTCAATCCTTACAAAGGCTTGGAAACCCAGGTTAGTTCTTTATTATCATGTCCTCTCCTTAAAGTCTTTATTCAAATTCTGGGATGTTCTGGCATGCCCTTCCTTTGAAAGCCAGCAAAGCAAGGATTTCGCCTGTCATTACATCTCGACTGTGCCTTGTTGAAAAGTGTACATTTTGTCAGTTCTAAGGATGTCATTCCCACCTTGAAGGTGAAGCAACCTATTTGTACCGCACTTTCTGTATCTTTGTTCATCCTCCCAGACAGATGGCACGTTGGGAAAGAAGACAATGGCGTCTCCTTTCAGATTTTCACCTACAGTGTAAAAAAAATGTATCGTGTGTCAGATGTTGCTTTTAAGGTCACCATGATGGGAAGTGTTTCACATACTCAGTGAGAGACAAGTTCAGTTTATTTATTATTTATTAAACAAAATTTTGGACCACTTCGCACCATAAAGCCATCGAAGTGGGTGAGGGTGGGGAGAACAGAGTACAAGACAGACACACAAGCTCTAGGCATAATAAAATCAGTTCAGCAAACTCTGAAACAATAAAACCATCCATACAAACTCTATAAACAACAAAACAATTTCATCAGGCTTCCATAAATGACTGAGTCATATATTTGCGGCCCTTCGTGTGATGGTGTCATTAAATTCCCTTCTTCATTTCTTTGATTGGGGGTGTGTGTGTGACAATTATCTTGGTGACAGGGATGCAGCGAGATGGCACAGATTTAATCCGTTTGCCTCAAGTGTGTCTGATATCGTTGGCAGCTAGAATAAGTATTTCTGCCCTTGCCTCCTGATCTCTTAGGGTGGTATCCAAAGCTAGTCCTACTGAGAGTAGACCCATTGAAATTAGTGGCCTTAAGAATTTCAGCAGATCACCTCTGAGTCGCCTACAACCTTTAACTCTTATTGACAGATCTTCTTTTTATGCCATTGGCTTAGCTGCTGTGATGTCACAGCAGCAGCTCATGGAAGCTGAGTGCTAGCTACAGTCCACAGTGAAGCTGCTGTTAAACTGCTTCACCTTTGCCCATGGGCAGTAGGTTTTAGAGGTTGTTAAAAGGAACTTGGCTTGTGTGGTTTTCTGTGGCTATTTCATAGCCGCCTGTTGAAGAGGGAAGAGGATGGTTGCAGCTTGTGCATAGAATGGCTTTAAAAAAGTGTATTGGTGGTAGTGGTGTCTACCACAACTTTACCTCATCACTGAGTAAACACAACCAGCGCTACTACCGGGCAAAGACCTATCCAAAACTTTTTAGATGTGATTTCAGTTCTGCCGAGTGATTCTGCCAATGCTACTTTTGTGATTTTATGACCTCAGTTTATTTTGTCAGCAGTGGGTGCAGTGGGTGCATTGTTGTATTTTAATCATTTTATACATTTTTTTAAAAACCACCCCGATAACATGATTCAAGGCAGTGTAAACCTACTTTAGAAACAAAAAAAGGGGGGTGTTTAAGAGCAGCATGCCTCTTAGGAAAGGGGGACAAATTCAATTTAATTTGAATGTAAAAGTGAACCTGCCTAATAATTCACACTTTCTGGAACAGTACAATGCAAGCATCCTTCAAAATAGGAACTTATTTGCATTTTCCAATGCTGTTCTCCAGCCTAATAAATGTGGGGGGAAATGTGTGTAGTGAGATCAATGGGCAGGGAATTCCAGAGAGTAGGCCCTGCTGCCACACTGTAGCTTGGATTCCTTGGAAGCGTGGAACAAAAGTCATGTGGCAACTGTAAAAAATGCCAGTTATCCAGTTGGTCACATGATTGCTAATGGTGGTGGTTTGGGGAAAGGGAGCCAAAATGGCACCCAGTCTCATTGAGATTGGTAAATGGGTCTTTCCTGCCTCAGTTCCTCCCTGAACACAGCTAGGTAGTTTGCGCATGTATGTGTGCATGCATACAGTCGACTACAGTAGACATCGAGCATTTTAAAAGTCAGGAATTGCCAAGCCTGAGGCCTGTGGTTTTCCATTTAGCCACAGAGCGTGTATAAAATGTCTTTGGCATCTGCCCTTCTAATTTGCCTTCCCCGACCCGAATGTAGTTCAGCCTTCATGCGTATTAATTCCTTGCTAAGTGAGTGCCAAGGCGAATGCCAGCTGGCTTTCAAAGACTCTGTGGTTCCCCCCCCTCCGCCCTTTTTTTTCCAGGAGGACATAAATATTTCCAGCAGGCAGAAGAAACTGTGCTTATACACTCACACATGCACACCTGTTCTTAAATAATTAAGATAGAGATTAGGTGTGTGGTTCTACATATGGATAAGAGCAAATGGGGGAATTGCTGGGTGTGTTTCAGAGCCGGGACTTCTCAGCCAACTGTTTTGCTAGTCTCTTTTATTTGAGATCTATTACGGGGGCCGGGAAACAGCTTTTCATGTGCGCCGTCTTTGTACCTTGCGGTGCTGAGACCGAGTCAAAGCAGTTCAAAAGCAGGAACTGAGATCAAGGAGGGCTTACCGGGGAGACAAAACTCAAATGATCATGTTTTGCATGTTGTGAAAGGGCCAGAGTTTGAGCATCAAGAGAGATGATCATCGGAGGCAAAAAGATTTGGTTTTTGCTGCATTTTCTTCTTCTTTTCGGAAGCCATATTTCTCATGTTCAAAGCTGGCAGCAGAAAGTACGGAGGAGGAAATCTCCCATGGCTGTCAAGCAAACTCTGCATTGGGTTCGGACTTAAACTATTGCACTTACTCCCATGTGTGTATGTTTTGAAAAGAAGAGCACATAGCAGGTTTGAAATGTTCAATGCAGCTGATTTTTTGTGCGTTTGTGTGCATGTAGCAATATCTAATGTAAATCTATTAATTTTCCACATCACACACAAAACACCATATTGCACAACACATCAACCACTTTGCTTTAAAATATTGTATCAAATTCTTACAGTCACTCCGGTTTTCCCCCCCCCCTGCATATTGCCATGAGATCTCAGGAGGTTATAAACACAATGTTCTTGATGCATATAATCCAAATATGTTTGCCACGCATTATAGCAAAGATGGGGGTTAGAATTCCCTTTGGTCTCACGAATCTGGCACGTCAGCTTTTCAGCCAGGGCTATTGTTCATGCTCTGAATGCAACTGATTCTTGAAAGGTTGTAAAGCCCTATTGCCTCTGGCTGCAGAAGTTTGAGGAATAATGGTGGTACTAAGCCAGGAATAGTAAACATGATGCCTTCTAGATATTGTTGGACTCCAACTCCCATCATCCTCAGGCAGCATCAGCAGTGGTCAGCTGCGATGCATAAATATAGGATGGGGGACACCTGGCGTGACAGGAGTACAGGTGAAAATGACCTAGGGGTCTTAGTGCTTGACATGAGTCAACAGTGTGATGCAACAGTGAAAAAAAGCTAATGGTTTTGTGTACCAGATCATGGTAAGCAATAGTATCACTTGGAGTCCTGAGTCCAGTTCTGGGCACCACAGTTTAAGAAGGATGTTGACAAGCTGGAATGTGTGTAGATGAGGGCAACCAAGGTGATCAAGAGTGTGGAAACCAAACCTGATCACGAACGATTGAGGGAGCTGGGTATGTTTAGCCTGGATAAGAGGAGACGGAGAGGTGATATGATAGCCATCTTCAAATACCTAAAGGTCTGTCACATGGAGATGGAGCAAGCTTGTTTTCTGCTGTTCCAGAGGGCAGAACCCAAACCACTGGATTCAAATCACAAGGAAGGTGATTCTAATTAAACATCAGGAAGAGCTTTCTGACGGTAAGAGCTGTTGACAGTGGAATGGACTATCTTGGAAGGTGGTGGGCTCTCCTTCCTTGGAGGTTTTTAAGCAGAGGTTGGATGGCCATCTTGTCAGGGATTGTTTAGCTCTGGTGGCTGCATTGCAGGGCATTGCACAAAGATGACCGTTTGGGTCCCTTCCAACTCTACAATTCTGTGATGCCATGATGGGTGTCACAGTCCAACAGCACTTGAAGGGCACTGGCTGCCACTGTGCTAAAGGACTGGAAAGGAAGGGTGGATAAAAAAGAAATCTGATTTCATAACTCCTCTTATAATCCGTATGTCCAATACTTGTGAGCAGCAATTTCAGGATAAGAGCATCGTGGGACATTGCTAGTTGTCCACCAGCTTTAGTTTGCTGTTGGCCATGTTTGGGGCAAAGGGCTGTTGCACAGTGGTGGTGCATCTGCCTTGCATGCAGAAGGTCCCAGCATCTCCAGGTAGGGCTGGGAAGAACTCTGCCTGTAACCCTGCAGAGCCACTGTCAATCAGTGTAGACCAGGATTTCCCAAACTTGGGTATCCAGCCGATTTTGGACTATAGTTCCCATCATCCCTGACCACTGGTCCTGCTAGCTAGGGATGATGGGAGTTGTAATCCAAAAAAAATCTGGAGACCCAAGTTTGGGAAACACAGGTATAGACTGTACGGAGGTAGATAGACCAATGGTCTGGCTTTGTATGTATATGGCAGCTTCCCATGTTCTTCAGAGTAAATGCAAGAAAAAATCAAATCAGTTGATGGTTTTCCTTTAGGTCTTCCATTATCTACTCTCCAGATGAGTTAGTGATTATCAGGCCATTTCTTGATCTAGAATATGTTGCCAGCAAGGGGTGTGGGTGGATGAGTGAAAGGCAGCAGTTAACCATGCAGTTTGTACTATTAGACTAATAAATTGGATTTACTGGAAAATCTTACAGTGATATAGTATTAACTCCCAACTTGTTGATGCTTCCAGAAGTCTTATTAACGTCAGTTTCATAAATATTCTCCCTTTCCATTTTTATTATTATGCTCAAGGCAATTTTCATCAAAACTGACAAACGTGTAACAGCAATGAACACATCAGCCTGTGAAACAATTACACCACAATATACACAGAACAATGGAATAAACTGAAACTGTTCATAATAATAAGACAGTAGACATAAATATCAAGACACTGATATCTGGTAAAAGAAATTATTTTTTGAAATATTACTCAGTATAATAATCAGTAAAGTCAACCACATCAATCAGTTTATAATTCCATGTTCCCAGGGAT